CCTCGGGGGAAGGCGGCTTTTTCGAGAGCACGCTGTTGGGAGTTTGTTCTCTTTGCCTCTATGCAACTCCATCGCTGCCTGATGTAATAATTGAAAGATTTACTGTGGGAAAGTGCAAGCGAGGTGAAGTCCTACCCGCCTTTCCACTGTCTAAAAATCAGGAAAAGTCCGTAAATGGCAACTTATTCTTTTAAGATTTTAGTGTAGGATAATCGCTGCTGACAAGTGAAACACTAGTAGAATATGCGTAACCTTTTGGGGGGGTGGGTGGGTGGGTGGAGGACCTCAGCAGTCTGATGCTTCCCAGTGAAGCAATTTGGACTGTTTCCAGTCTAAGACGTCACCAGGTGGAGAGAGAGACTAGTTGGCAGGAAGAGATAAATTAGTACAGAAAATGGAAAGACATACAAAAATGTGAATGCAAAAACAGATCCTGCTCTTACTTGGCTTCTGCTCCAAACTTTATTTTAGTGTTTTATGTATGCGATGTCTGTCTGCTATAAATTGCAGAAATAAGGCTGGAAACAGAAGAGAAATTGAAGTCTTGGACTTCTAAGTTACTTCATCATAACACCTAAAGGATGCTGTAGAGAGTGACAGTATAATAGCTAGCATGCTTACTTGCCTCGCAAAGCCTACAATAATAATAACAGCTCTGCGCTTGAGAACTTTTTTTCAGAATAGCTACAGTGCACTAAACATTTTTTTAATCAAATGGACCAGGTGGCAATATACACACTGTGAAATGTGCTGGATCACTTAAGGAAAGCAGGAGCTGGAGGACCAACAACCAAGTGAAAAGTTGTATTTTGCTGCTAAGGAAAAGTCATTCCAGCATGATATTTTTGAATAAGGAAAACAGAGGTCCATTTTATTATAATTTTGTCAGCATATGAAAGTACAAAATGTTAATGCTGCTACACAGGAGCTTTGCTACTGAATTAAACAGGATCTAAATTTTGCCCATAAAAGTGATAACTGCCAATTAACATTTGTTGATCTGCAATGACAAAAGATGCTTTGTAATTCCCGAGGTAAAATAACTGTCTGCTAATTTGAGTTAGTAATCTGCTTATCCATTTACAAACAAAATAGAGAATTACAAATAATTACGCTAGTAAATTAACCGTGTTGTCATTATAGCATAAAATTGGAATGCAATTTGAAGTACTTAATGCGTTTTACAGAATTAAGAAGCACAGCCAACAAGTACTGTAGACACACAGACCAGGAAATTGTGTGTATATATACACAAAGTATATATACACAGCTTCTAAGAACGTGAGTGCATGTGTTGAAAATCATGTAACTACAAGAAAGCAATATAATCACATATATGAGTCCCGTTTATTTCATCTGGTATCCCCAGTTCCCTGTTTTCTGCTGGATTATAAAATCCATTTCCTTGTGTTCTCGCCTTCCCTCCTCTCAGTTCTTCCACCATTTCCTGCTGAAAATGCACACAGCTATTCTCTGAACCTGCCTACATGGTGACTGGCATTATATGCTTTTTACACTGCTCTGATGACTTGCAGTTGGATCTACCTCTATGTAAACGTAGAATTGGTTTCAGTGCCTGACTGAGTCATTTTTAAAGACGTACCAGCCATACTGGGCCAGACCCAGTCCAGCGGCCAAGAGGAGGCATCTGAGATTTAAGAGCAGCACGAGGATGTATGTAGTTAAACCTCCTTGACATAATCTTCCAGGAGCCAACAGCAGGCAGCTTGCGAATTTCTTAAACTGAGGAAGGTGGCTTCACAGTTGCCAACTTTACAGTTAGTTAGTAACCGATAATGGTTTCT